GCTAATGCTAATGCTAATGCCAATGCTAATGCTAATGCTAATGCTAATGCTAATGATAATGATAATACTAGTGCTAATGATAATTTTGACTCTAATGCTAATGCTAATGCCAATGCCAATGCTAATGCTAATGCTAATGACAATGACAATAATAATGCTAATTACAACGATTATTCAAATACTAATGCATATGCTAATGATAATTCAAATACCAATGCTAATGCTAATGCTAATGCTAATGCTGACGCCAATGCTATTACTAATGCCAATGCTAATGTTTATGCTAATGCCATTTCTAATTCCAATTATTATGCTAATTATAATGACAATTCAAATACTAATGCTAATGATAATGATGATGTCAATGCTTATTGCATTGATAGTTCAAATACTAATGCTAATGCTGATTGTAATAATAATGATAATGAAGGGAATAATACTCATAATGACAATGATCATGACAATGGCGAATGTTGATAATAAAAATTGTTGTTCAATTCATCTCAGCCGCACAGCATGAAAACTCTCTCTAATGATAAGCATCCATCTTCAACGAGTTGGCTTAAAGTTGGCTCGAGACGAAAAGGTTGCCTCGCATAGGCCAGCCTAAACCATATATTATTTCACAATAAATTTCGTAAGGCATTCTATACTAGATGCGTGAACGTGTTAAGGAATGCCGTCGTTTGGGGCTAACTCACATTGAGACCCAGCGCGGAAAATAAGGCATTTATCACGGCCAATGAAAAAAGGCGTCGAGAATGATTTTTGTTCGTTCTATTATTATTATTTTTTATCTGTAGCTCTTTTTTTCCGTTCCGTTTCCCTTTCCGGCACAATGCAACAAAACAGAAGGAACAAGGAAAAGTGTGACACAAAGCGCTCAATGAATGGAAAGAAATGGCCAAAGACACTGAACAAAGGCAAATTGAATCGAGCTGCACTGACGTGGATGTGCACAGGTGAAGGCAGGTGGCTAAGAAGCGAGCCACTCTCTGCCACTCTGCGCCACAAAATACAAAATGAAAGTTATACAATTAGCAAACGTCGCTGGCGGCCATTCAATTTGCCTCCACGTGACCGCCACGAGATGTTTTCCTCTGCCACGGGCGACCTAATGGGCGCGACCGATGCTTGGGTGGCTCTGTGGCTGAGTGGCTGGAGTGGCTGGAGTGGTTGAGTGGCGGTCGGGCTTTTGGCTGTTTTGTGTTTGGTTTGGCATTTATGCAGCGGTTAGGCAGCTAATCGAATCAGCTTGCCGCAGCAAGTCTCGCACTAAATAAACATGTTTGCCTTTTGGCTAGGGGGCCCACACGGCGTATACGCGACGTTAGATAGATTTGCCAGCGACTATATAGTTTTTTTTTTAAGAAGAAGAGCTGTACAAATAGCGTGGGGGCGTGGAGGATGGCATGGGACTGAGAGGAAATATTATTTTTTGATTTCGCTTCATTTCATTTCTCGTCCATTTTATATTTGTCCGCACGAAGTGGCGCGAATTTATGGGCGGGAACATCGCCGTGAATAAATCATAAATGCATTGACATGAATTGCCCCGCCCCTTTTCAGGGGGACACTGCACTTGAGCATGCCATGCAATCCACAGTCGGAGGGAATTTGTTCGTTTATATTTTACTCTTGTCGGCAATCAATAGCATCATATTTATTTAATAGGATTTCGGGTGTGCGAACTATTTATAGCGGCAGTAACACTTCCGCACTAACTAAATACGTGGATGGATCTACGGCGAACACTTACCTGCACGCAGCAGGGCCATCTGTGCTAGAGACGGATTGTTGTTTACTCTCGCCGACTGCGCTCTATCATTAAATATATATATAAATATAGTATATATCTATGTGTGTATTGATATATACAATGAATCACTCAATTCGCTTACACTTTAGTTCGCGCCAAAAAACAATAAAAAAAAAAAACACAAAATAAAATAGTAAAACAATCAAAACAAATTGAGTTGAGTATAAAAAACGGATTTGAAAACTTTTGCAGCTGCGACGACCGTTCGCAACGGCTTCGCGTTGGTAAATGATGCCGGCGCGAGGCTGAGCGCTCTGCCATGGAGTCCTAACAGACTTATCCTACAAGTTGGCCAGCAAGCAGTGCCAACTGTTATACGAGGGCCGTTTGAACTGATGCACAGTGGGGCGAGTGCCTAATGATGATATAAATAGAATTTTAGCAATTGGACAAAAGCTTCTTTATTTTTTTAGAACTTGAAATTGAAAACAAAAAATCGTATACATATATATATTTTTTTTCTTTACCAATTTTAATTACTCTTAGCCATATTTTCCCTTCTTTTTTTTGGCTCATGTAAATATTCAATCTACTTGCTAAATTTTTACGATTATTCATTATACATAGTAATACAGTCTTAGTTAAAATTTCGCAAATGATTTAAATGTTTTTTTTTTTTTAATTTTTTATTTTTTATTAAATTTTGAATCTAGATATTATTAAAAATATATATGTATAAAAATATATTTTTATATTCTTGATTGTGTTGATAAACTAAGTTGATAAAGTCCAACACATCTGTCCGTCCATGTGAGCGCAGAGTAACAAAGATTTTAAATTTTTAGGCATAAGTATATAACTTTGTGCTCTCCAGCTAAACTCATTGCTGGCCATTTAACATATGCTCCGTTGATCAATATTTTCGCATTGGACTCTATAATTATTCTACTCACTTTTGTAGGTTTACTATATTCATATTATATATTTGACATCTTCATAGTTTAATATATTCATAGCACATTAACCACTGTGCGTGGCCCCAGCATTTGGTAACTTGATCTTTGTTTGAACTCTAGCCCCATCAAACTGTGCGCTAGACAACTTAATTGTTCTTTATAGTTGTTAATTAGGGGCAATAAAGTTTCAAATAACTATTTCAATGTAATTAGGCAGGCAGGAAATAACCCGAAAAAAGGAGTGAAAAGTATGTACAATTTTTATCAACAAAATGATATAATTTTCATAAGAATAACAAAAAGGACTTGTAACTTGGCATAAATGAACATTTAAAAATGGCGCTTAAAGATAAATATTTATTTAAATTGAAAAGCTCCCTTTAAAATGAGGAAAATCTATGAATACGGCTAAACACACAACATTTTTAAACCATTAAAAGGTATGAAAGTTATTAAACTGTCATACTCTTTGCTTTGTTAAGATATGTTTTAAGCAGCGCTCGTTGTGGACGTCAGCAGATGCGAGATGCTGCGCACTGCTTGCTGAACTGCTTGCGGAGCTGTCAGGCCAGCAAGCAGCTCAAGCAGAGTAAAGCAGTAATGCAAACTGAAGTGCAGCCGAAGAAATACATTGCACTTATAACTCAATTTAAAGTTAATTAGTTGACATTGATAGCTTAATTAATTTAGTTAGCCACCAGCCGGAGGTTACAAAGAACGGTGCAAAGGTACAAGAATGCTGTGTCTGGCGCCAGCCTTTTGTTGCGCTGAGTGCAGGTCAGGCACGTAAGCAACGAGATGATAAGACACCGACGTATGCCGACGTCTGCTGCGGCTGTAGCTAACATGGAGAGAGAGAGAGAGAGCGAGAGAGAGATAGAGATTGATGCGAGCCAGCAACAACAGCAGCTATGCATCTTAGGTTTCTTTCTGAGGTATAAAAAAGCGAGTGCAGGGCGAACAAAGTATATTATTGGCCCATAGACCTTCAGCATGTGGTCACAGCTCGCTTCCATTGCATTGGCACTCTGTTCGCTCAGCCTGGTCGCTGCGCAGCGCTGTGTGGATCAGGTGCACCACGAGCAGCAAGCACTGAGCCCACGCGTCGACTACGCTGCCTGCGGCCCAGCTGTGTGCGCCACGGACGGCTACTGCTACCGTTTGTTCCACAACATTTGCTACCTGAACGCTTTCAATGTGCGTTTGCTGTTCGCTGGCCAACGGGGTGAGTCTCCTGCTAGTAATAACCCGACAGAAGCTCACTGATCTTTAATCCAAAAATATTCTTTAGCACTTGTGCAGGCTGACATACGACATTGCTTGCCAGAGCCGAGGTGGCTCGACTACAACACACCCTACGATCCACGATTGCCGGGCAGCTCCTATGTGAATGCAGGTGCCTATGAGACACCCTATCTATATGAATCCGAGGACCTCGAACCAAGCTACCCCAGATCGTATGCTCCCTATCTCTACTACAAGGCGCAGGACACATATTCGCCGATCAACGGATTTTATTATAGGAATATGCGTGAATATGTGACTCAACGTAAACCGAAGCCATCGACTTCCTACAGAAAACCTAAAGCGAAGTGCACAACAACAGCATCACCAATAACTGCATCCACAACAGTATCATCCACACCACTATCTACAACAACAGCATCCACAACACCTACAACAACATCATCTACAACCGCATCATCCACATTAGCAACATCCACAACAACAGCCTCTACAGCAGCGCCATCCACAACATCCACTACAGTTGCAACAACAACACCATCTACAACATCCACAACAACAGCTTCTACAACAACTCCATCTACAACATCCACAACAGTTTCAACAACAACACCATCCACAACATCCACAACAGTTTCAACAACAACACCATCTACAACATCCACAACAACATCTTCTACAACAACTCCATCTACAACATCCACAACAGCAGCCTCTACAACAACAGCTTCCACATCAACAGTTTCTACAACAACACCTTCCACAACATCGCCTTCCACAACATCCACAACAACACCTTCCACAACATCCACAACAACGCCTTCCACAACACCCATCACAATAGCATCCACAACACCATCCACAACTACAGTGACCACAACAACAGCATCGACAACACCACCCACCACAATAGCATCCACACCGCCAACTACAACAATTTTAAGCCTATTGCAATCTGCAGCAGGTGCTGCACAGTCCCCAATACCATCCACAACGAATTTGCCAGATATTTTAAGCACCACACAATCAACGACCGCAACAACAGCAACGAGCCCACAAACCACTTTGACGACCAGCTCTTCAGTTACAACAGCATCCACAGTAAATACTACAGTAGCAACCACAATAGCATCCACAATAACATCCACAATTAATTTCGTATTACAGTCGAGCACGCCTCCAGCGACAACAGCATCTACAGCAGCACCCACTACCGCCAGCATCGACTTGGATGACGTAAGTAGTGCAGCTAGTGTAATATTACAGCAACTTGTACACGTAATACCACGTGTGTCTGGTATATAATTCAACACTCGATAATCTCTACTCCATATGTATATTTTCTTTCGAGTAGAACACTCTGGTTTCTCTGGTCTTCACAATGCCCAATGGCCGGGTCTTTAGACTCTCAATGGCCTCGCAGATAACCGACCCAACAACGGGCAATAAGACATGCGCCGAGGAGACGCAGCTAGAGCTTCGATACAGGGGCATATCGGAGCCGCTGAGGTTCACTGGATGCATCTACAACAACTCGACACGAAATGGAACGAGCTACGGCACCACAACGACCCGCAGACCAACGCCTAAGCCCTACTACAGCCCAAGCAGATCGGTTGACTACAGGCCCGTTGGCTACCTATACAGCATTACTTATGGCTCTGCCTATGAGGCACCCTACGCATCCGGTCCTGCACCACCTCAATATAGAGCGGACCCTGCACCTCCTCGCTATGGCTATGGACCGCGCCCTGGTAATACCAGGTTTAGGGTTCATGCCAGCGCGTCTGCTTCAGCAGATCTCCCATATTATGACTAACATCAATATCTACGGTACTCGACCTCATTATAATCAATAAGACTTACTATTTGTACACCCTGCATATATGTATATAAATAAATAAATACATTTTTGATACCTAAGCAACTTCTTTGACACCTGATACGTGAGATATGCCATTGAGCATACTTAGAGACCTACCTCAACGATATTGTCATAAGCCATACGACTTGCATAATTGCATACCGCACATAGCTATAGAGGTAAATATATGTATGTGTACATGAATATTTGAAATGCGACACTTGATACCGCAGGTATTTCGAATTTGTGGATATTTCAAAAGTTTTTTGTGATTGCCTTTTCTGTATGATTACTCTTCAGGTCTTAGGGACTTACAACTGGTCTTGAATGTTTAAAGTATTACACAAAGTATTCTGCATTCAACGATCTCATCATAAATAATTTGAATTTCTTTCTATTTATTATATATATACATATATCAAGATGTATTTAAATTTCTTATTTCCTTGACACTTGTTGTCGGAGGTATTCATGGGTGTTTGAAGGCCTTATATGATTGAAATGCATCATCAAAGTGTAGATAACTTGTATTGTTTTTTCCTTAGACTCATCAGATAAGAAAACTGAAGTATTTTACTTAGCCATTGAGTAAAGACCTACCTCAATGGTATTATACAGTTTTATTGTATATTGTATTCATTACATATCAAAATATCGTAGCATGCCAAATTTTTGGACACTTGATACGAAAAGTGCTTTATCATCAAGATTTGTCCAGCATTTTTTTGCTTTCCAGCTTATGGTGAAAAAGTGTTAAGTGATACGATTGAACCACTATCAAGAGTATTTATCAGGCAGAATTTCTATACATAAGTCAACCCTTATATTCCTGCAAGCAAGCTATTTGACTCTTGATATCAGAATCTATGAACTTATATGATGACTTTTCTCTTGTGTATTTCCATACTTAAACTTAGCTCAATCTAAGCAATCTCTGACATTTGGCTTTCCAGTTTTGGATTTTTTAGATCGTACTCGATTTGATAACCAAACTAATCCAAAAGGAATTGAGGTCGGTAAATCACAAGAGCTTGGCATTTTCATTCTACGAGTAAATTGACCTTGACCATTTCATTTGATCGGTATTCGAGTGTTATTATTAAGCTTAAATTTGATTGGATCATCATAAATAATATTGAATGAGTGTGCGCACTCTTTGGCTATCTGTTGACCTTGAGAAATTGTCTTTGGTATCGTCATGCGCTGCGTGCTTGCTTTGTTAATCATTATCGTATTCGTAATTTGCAAAATGTTCTCTGAGCAACAACAAAAACTAATTAATTCACAAAATTTCCCATGGCGCAAAGTTTACGTTTAACACGAATAGCACTGATATAAGTACAGCTCGTCTTATTTCATAAGCTAACAATAACAAAATAAAAAGTATGTAATAAAAAGTAACACAAAAAACTTAAAAAACTTAACGTCTGGCTTCTAGCTAGAAGCGTTGATATAATTAATTACAGAAACAGACCTCCAGACACGTAGACATTGCTATGATATGAGGGCATGTGGCACAAGTCCACGACAGGTTGTCATCGTCATATAAAAAGTGCAGCCTTTTCGAGGCTAAGCCATAGTCGGACTGAGGATTGTCCACAATATGCACGCGTTCTATTTGTTTGGATTGACGCTAGTCACAGGCGCCTGGAGCTGGGGCTATGGCGGGCCCGACTATTACGGCGCCCAGTGCGACCATTTGCAGTGCTCGGATGTCAAGGAGGAGGTCTGCGCTAAGATCGAGGGCGGACATCAGCGGGCGACCTTCGATAATGCCTGCGAGGCCCAGCGCTATAGCTGCCTAACGGGAAATTGTGTGTGCCACAAGGAATAACGTACGATTCGTCGACTATAATATTTGTTATCTCTTCAGATTGGCGCATACTGTACGAGGGTCCCTGCGACTGCCCCGTCAAGTGTCCACTGACGTGCAGTCCGATCTGTGCCACGCTGGAGAATACGCAAAAGTCGTTTCAAAATCAATGCGAAATGCAGCAATTCATATGCCACACCAGCGAACGTGAGTATCAATTGCAATCAGTCCCCTTCTCTTATCTCTAACTCCCTGCCCCACCTATTCTCTTAAGCCTGGAGATACCTGCACGAAGGGCCATGCGCAGGCGAAGAGGCCATATACTCACCACAAGCACCTTTAATGAGAGCGAATCCATCCTATCCGCTTTATCCACCTCAACATGCATATGGGCCACCTGCCTATGGATATCCTGCTTACGGACCCTATGGCTATCACCAGCCAGCTTATGGACCCCCCTTGCCAATGGCTTACCCAAACCCCTATATCTCCCAACGGGCAGCGTCTCAGCTGCAGCCTTATCACGTGTACATCTCGAGAGATGCTCTGCCCACAGAGTCAAGCGAAGCATTCGGAACGACGACAGCCAAACCGGCGGATGAAGTCTCAACTGAGCTATCGAAGAGTGAAACAGATGAAAGTTCTTCCTCCGATGCGACATCCGATCCTAGTCCGCTCAATGAGGAGAAACAGGTTTTAATACAAAGCTTAAGGAAAGAAATCAATGATGATGCTATCCAAGGGAATACAACTACTTCTTCTGCTTCTGAATACAATTCGCCAACAGAAGCAGCCGTAAGTTCAGATGGAGCTGCAGACAAAAAGGCATATGATCCATACTCTCAAGAAACAACTACTGAATCGACTGAGAGCTCGACGTCAGACTCATCATCGGACTCTACATCAGAGCCACAAGTCCAAAGCTTAAGCAGAGCAGCAGCTGTAGACCAGGAAATAGTAGATAGCTCCCCACAAGAAACAGATTCCACAA